ATGGAAAACAGGACTGGATTTCAGTCTCCAAGCTTCCAAACGTTGCAGACATTTGGAGAGTAAATCAAGATAGTGATGGGCCCTCTACTTACCCACCTATCTATCTGCCTTTCTTTTATCATCTCTGTCTCTATCTCTTACAAGTACGTTTTTAAAATACTGTGATCAAATATCACAACTTACCTCATATTTTCTTATGTATAAAATTAAGCACAAACAGTTCTGAATTCATTCAACTTTCTTCCTTTAGTGTAGAATAGGCACCATGAAACGGATGAGATAAATGGCTACAAAAGAGTTTATTCATGTACTCCTTTTTCAGGAAGTGTTTATTGCCTCCATGAGGTATTATGCTCAGTGTTACAGGAGTGTGGAGTCCAGGACACCACCTCTGATCTCAAGAAGAGTTCAGTCTGGTAACATTCCCTAGCAGAATGGCGCATCCAGAAGAATTTGAACTGGGACGTGGAAGAACCTGTGATCAGCTGGAGATAGTAAATGAGGGGAAGGAGGTAGCATCTGATAGTTGTCAGCAAAGCTGCGCATTTAAAAAGGAATTTTGTATTTGTCTGTTCCATCTTATCTACAGGTCTTGTCACACATGTTACTCCTACGATACATTATCCTTGACTTGAGAACTTTAAATGCATATGGGAGACTTTATGTGTAAAGTACTTGGGCCATCTTCTGTCACCATCCCTGGTGCATTAATAGGGAGCTGATTCAACAGAGACTCACATGGGCCCTCTGGCAGGGCACACTGGCATCACAGGCAGTGGTCTAACCTGCTGTGTCACAGTGCCAACCCCAAACTAATCACTTTGGAAAGGTCCCACCTCTCACATTATAGCATTTAAATTTCCAGCATAATGTGGCATGGCAAGTTAAACCACAACCTGTGCTAATGCCAACACCTTAAATGAGCACCCATTTGCAGCTTTGGCAATGGTCTTGGGAGGGCAGCAGAAGACTGAAATGCTTGGGTCCCTGCTCCCATGTATGAGACCCAAGCAGAGTTTTTGGTATGTGACTTAGGCCAGTTGATGTGGTTCATTTTGGGTGAAATCAGTGGATATAATATCTCTCTTTTCTGCCTTTCTCTTCCCCCACCTCCCACTCTCCTAGCCCCTCTCTGTCATTCTGCCTTTCAAATACAGAAAATAAACCTAAAAATAAAGTTTCCAAAGTAAAAACGTTGGGGGAAATGTGTCAATTCCAAGGCAAGGAATAGGAGAGAAGGGAAACTTGACATCTTCTGTTTGTACACAGGATGCATGTCTGTCCCATTCCTTGCAGAGTGCAGCTAACTCTTACCTGTCCTTTTAAGGAAACTGTGTTCTTACATTTTGCTAACAGACAAAAAAATTAACAAAGACTGTATCCAAACATAGTCTTATTACTATTGAGAGGGTAACCATGCCAATAGATACACATAAGATAATTTGACTCTTGATTGGACCCAGAATCATGCAGATAGAGGTTGGTAACCATTCTTTGTTGAAGACCAGATGGTAAGTCTTTCAATCTCTGCCACAAGTACTCAGCCGTGGCATCCCAGATGCATTCACCTGTATTAAAACTTTATTTATAAAAATTGGAATCTAAATTTCACATATTTTCACATATCAGGAAATATCACCCTTATTTCGTTTGCTCCCCAAATGTTTTTAAATGAGTAAACCATTCTTGGCTTGCAAGGCTGTCATGAAAACAACCATGATTGAGGATTCGGTTCGGGCTGCTTTGCGTGTCAACCCTGAGAGTCTCTTATGAGAATCGCTGGACATATTTTGGGCAACCCCTGTGTGTTATGCCTGATGATCATGACCATGGAAAGAAAGCTGACTTGTGTAGGATCAACTGGGTGCCCCAGAATAAAAGGATCAACAGAAAGAATGTGTCTGTGAAGTGTCAGGTGATCATTGCCTCAAAAAGTGGAAAAAAAAATACCACTGTTTTTCAACTTCGGATTGTTGTCCTCAGTGTCAGTTCGCTGAGCAGACTCCCCCACCTCCGCCTTCTTTGTGGATGACTTTGTCATCTTCTAGCCCTGTCATGAGGCAGCTGTGTTCAAGGTTCTTAGAAGTGAAGCATGATGAGAGATTCTGTGTCACCACATGGACCAGAAGTGCTGTGTTCACCACCTGCATGTTATTAAGGGAATTGGGGCAACATGGAAATGTGTCTCTGACCTTAGGAAGCTTCAAAAATAATGCTATAATTTCACCTTCACAAGAAACTATCAAAGGAAGTATAAACTATAAAATGTAAAGAGCCATTTCCTCTTTTAAAAACACCTTTACATATTTTAATTCTTGTCTTTCCCTTGGGGGTTAGATATTTCGGTCACATAGTTACCCAATTAAAATGAAAACTCTCTCCTTTATCCTTTAGGCGAGGACAGCTGCCAGCTGCTAAGTTTTATAAAGTCTTTAATCTTGTCCATAAATATTTAACAAGAATTGGTTGGTACACAAGATGAAGTAAAATAAGAAATCAAAGAGGGAATCTGGGCAGTAACCCCTGCGTTATGTAAAAGCCAAATAAAACAAAAGCAGAATGACCAGTTGCCCCCTTTTGTATGAAAATATAAAATATTTTTGAGTGTTTTGATCACCCTCTTAGCCTTCTTGTCGTAAAAAAAAAAAAATGTGCAAAAAATAGGCAGATTATAGAGAGAGATTAAATGTGACTATCAGTGCCCTTTTCTCCAGTATCCTGCCATTTATTTCAGAGATGGCCTCTTGTGTTTCCATGGAAACCCACACAGAGCAGCTCTAAGAACTTCAGCAGCATTTGATGATTTAGATCCGTTATTTTTGTTGCTGTTGTTCTCATCTACACATGCACAAACACACCCAGAGAGACAGAAAGAGATAAATGTAAATAGAAAGATGGATAGACAGATAGATGAATAGATTAAAAAAAACGATCCATAGATAGGCTTAGGAGATGGTCAGTCTACACACAGACCACCACCGTCATACCCACCCTAAACTGGTTAAAAACTCACCATAAGTAACCAACCCTAAAAAGCAAAGGACTTGGGCACAGTGAGATAGCGTAGCAGTTAAAGTCCTCATCTTAAGCATGCCCGGGATCCCATGCGAGCACTGGTTCTAATCCTGGCAGCCCTGCTTCCCATCCAGCTCCCTGCCTGTGGCCTGGGAAATCAGTCGAGGACGGCCCAAGGCCTTGGGACCCTGCACCCATGTGGGAGACCTGGAAAAAGCTTCTGGCTTCGGATCGGCTCAGCTCCGGCCACTGCGGTCACTTGGGGAGTGAACCATCGGACGGAAGATCTTCCTCTCTGTCTCTCCTCCTCTCTGTATATCCATCTTTCCAATAAAAATAAATAAATCTTAAAAAAAAAAAAAGCAAAGGACTCACATCTCCTCTTCTTTGACTGCCTGAGGAGAGAAGGCTGATACTCGCTTTGATCCAGTCTTTGGACTTCCTCCACTCTACCCTCTCACCACCTCCCAGTACCATCCTTCAAGCCTGGACGTTCCAAGGCCATATTCCCTTCCTCACCCTCCCAGGACAGAGGCCCCAATAAGGTCACTCTGTGCACCTGTTCCATGTGGAATCACAGAGCACTCCAGCGTTCTATGCTGGCACAGATCTTTCATACCTAACTAGTATCTCCTGACCTTCCTCAATAGCTAACAGCCCACAAGATGAATGGTCTTCACCAGTAAATAATAATAATAATAATTTTTAAAACTAACTGAAGTCTCAGCTACATCCTATCCCCACTCTATGATGTCTTTACTTTGTTTGTAAGGGAGATTAAAATTGGGTGGCAGCTCCTTTCTTTATGTCAAGGTATACTGATAGATAAAAGATCACCCTAAATAAGGAAGAAGGGAAGAAAACAGAAGAAATTATCTTTTTTTATGATATCTTAAATACTGCAATCATGTAATCAGAGAAATGCAAATACAAATTTGACACACCCACTGGTAGTGGCTTACATGTTATATTTCGTAGAAGCTAGGTAAAGAGCAGAATTCAGGAGCTAAGGCAATCCCTAATGCTTCTACAAGATGTAAAAAACACTTCCCATCTCAAAGTTCAATACCATGACAATTAATTCCATAATGTTGTAAATTGTTGTCAATGCTATGTTGTGGCCTTCAGTTGATCAGGATGACACTCCGCCAGCTCCACTTACAGACCAGAGATGATCTCCCCAAGAAACCATTGAACGTATCTGGACAACTAGATGCTGGACTCTCTGCCTGGGACACGCCCGCAATGCAAGACTCTCAACTGAACTTGATCTGTAATACTGCAACAGGGTGGAGGAATCCACCACGGGGGGAAGGTGCAGGGAGGGGTCAGGGGAATCCCAGAGCCTATGAAAATGTGTCACATAATGCAATGTAATCTATAAAAAAAAAATTTTTAAAGAGGAAAAAAAAGCATTTTCTATAAAACAAAAAAATCCAAGAGCTTCTCTCTCATAATGATTTTACCATAAATAACTCCTTTAGAAGCAGCCATTAAAATGCATCATCCTGTATTACAGAAAACATTTCTGGATAATATCTTAATGGTCTTAAATAGTCCAGCAGGTTTCACCATCTAACAATGCCTTTCTAGTTGTTGATTTCTGTCAACACCTTCCCTCCAAATACAACACCTTCACCACAGCACATATCTTCAGCACAAGTTCATTTCATATTCAGATTATACTACTTATTCTGCCATTTTTGTTGTGATAACAGCAGGTATTAATAGCTCTACTTATATAATCTAAAACCAACTGAAAAAATAAAACAACAAAATCTTTCATGCTCTAAGACAAATATATTCAATTCCTTTCCATGCAGTATATAAGGTTCCTACATGCTAATGTCTTCCCCACCCTGCAACACCCTTGCTGACCTAAAGAGTGGCTACCTAGGGAGCGTACTTACAGGACAGCTAACATCTACCATCTCATCTGCAACCGACCGTATCAGTTTCTACCCACAGATGCCAATGGAAGCCATTTAGAGTTTCCACAGCCGCGAGAAAGAGGAGGGATTTGGTATACTATGAGGGAGTGTTGAGGCTGCTGGCTGGCGAACACCAGAACACATGGAAATAAAGTCACCTCCTTCAGATGCCATGCTGGGCAGAAAGCCTCCGAAGAACCCCCCAGTCACTAGAACATTCTTCTTTACAAATGACACCACCTCCTCAGCTTTGCTCTTGACTTCGGTTGGTATTTGGTTGCTCTTACGGATCTTCAGTGGCTCTTTGGCTTTCTTCATGTCCTTCTCTACTCGCTGCCAGTCAACTTTGATGTACCAGTGTGGTTCGCAAGCGGAAGGAGAAAAAAATCCACCTCCTACAGCTGTTGCAGCCAATTTTCCAACCTTCTGCAATATGAAACCTGTACACCAGCCAGTGACCCCTCCAATTAACAGCTGGGTTGCCACACTGTATTTTTCAGAGGAGGGCCCAGATTCCTGTCCAAACAACTTGCGCCACCATGGTTGTTTTTTTTTTTTTTAAGATTTATTTTTATTATTTTTTATTGGAAAGGCGGATATACAGAGAGGAGAGACAGAGAGGAAGATCTTCCGTCTGATGATTCACTCCCCAAGTGAGCGCAACGGCCCGATGCTATGCCGAGCTGAAGCACCATGGTTGTTTTTTAAGAAATTCTGCAAGAACTAGCGAATCAAAATTTCCCTCAAAGTGTCCTTGACTGGACGCGGCCATTTCAGTGAGCTTGTCTCGCGAGGCTTCGCGAAGGGGATCGGCGCGGTGGGGCGTGATGTGGCCCGTGGTGGTTGTTGCCACCAGCTGGCTTCCAGCACGTGGGGCAGATGTTTCCATTCCCACGGCGGCAGCAATAGAAGGCGGACCAGGTGCTGCGCTGCCTCTTCCCTCCCCCCAAAAGAAAATATCTTAATGTTTCTTAGCTTTCCTTGTTTCAACTCAAGAACTATGGGCCTCAAGCTGTTCTTTATTTCTTCAGGAATACCATTTTCATTGCTTTAACCCTAAACTGGGTTTCTTCTTCTTGAATGCCAGCTTCAGGATTTTCCTCTTCCGAATACCCCCACAGAACCCAAATTGCTTAGGTCTGTGAGGTTGAGTCCCTCTAACAGCTGGGATTCCTTCCCCCCAGGCCAGCATGTCTATGACCCTCTCAACAGTTTAGCCATTCGCTCAACAAATATTTAGAAAGTACCTCCTTATCTCTGGGCACTGTACTCTCAGTTTTTTACAACACTGATATAAACAAATCCCTACCAACCCTGGGCTGGTACATCTAGAATGAATGAGAGGTAGTTTAAGCCCATTTGTTGACTGATAAGTAGAAAAGCCCTCGGCTTCTCCCAAATCATTTCACCCAGACAGCTCCACCTGAGTCTACCACCCTACATTTTATAACTTGGGGTTTTTTTCCTACTCCAGATACTTTTTTTATGTTTCTGTTTATATTTTGTTTACTCCAATACCATTTGAAGGGTGACCCTTGCCACCCAGCAATCAGTGGATGACTCAGTATTCCTTTCTCATATCTCCAATGAATCTTTTAAATGACCTAGGACCTTGGACATCATCCCCCTTCAGGTACCACTGGTTCCATCCCAAAACTGATTTGTCTATTCTGTCAAACTGTAGGGAACCTGGGCAGGAGCTAGCTCCCTGCATCTTAGTTCTGGTGTCTCCCCCTATCCCCCCGATGCTTCATTACATTGTCCACATGACACTCTGCATCTCTGACACATCCCATGACTCCTGTGATGCTGATTATCAGCCTGGGTTCTCTAGGGCTGTTTCCCACACAGATGTAGGTTTTGTTTTATTTGCCACTTCTTTCTGCCCTTTCCTGTCTTAATTAAACTCAGCCTTAGAATGCAGGAAGCCAGGGAACTCGTATTTTCTTCCATTTGATAAAAGCAGTAGTGTTTCCTAGGGATAGCCAAAATTATGCCCTTACCTCCTACCCAATCCCAGATTCTATTATGTGTCAAGCATCTTCTGTCCTGTGTCTTCCCGTTTCTGTATGATTGACTGTTTGATGGTTTTATTTACACTTTCATCGTGAATTATAAGTTTCTGTAAGCTTACATTTTAATGGGTTCCAATACAAAGGAAGGATAGCGATGGGAAGTGGCTTTATTTCTCCCTCTTTCACTGGCAGCTCCTATCATTTTTTCGAATCATTTAAAAGCAGCTATTTTCTCATTCAATTCAAACTTCACAACACGCAAGAAAAGCTCTTCCTGTTATTCACAAAAGTAGACAGGTGGAAAAGAATTTATTTGATGATAACAACTCTCAGTTATCTACAGCTCATAATTTTTTTGAAATAAAAAAGGTCAATAGATCTTAAATCTCAGTAAACATATGCTTACTTAAGTACTAGATGCTATGGTTTGAGGGTCCTCCAAAAAGCTGGGACTGTCTTCTAATCTTCAGCCCTCATTTAAAACCAAACAAACAAAATATGGTTCTTGGGTACATATTTAGATATTAATACATTAATAGAATCAACCTCCTGAATTACCCCAAGGTGGAAACCGCCTGTGTCTACATGCAACATGGGGACTGTCCTTCTCTGCTCCATTCTTTTCCACAAGATAGATCTTTCTAGAACATTGTGCCTCTGTCCTACGAAGTAACTTTGTACAGTTTTCCATTATCTTAAGGCTGAAATTTAGACCCAGTATCCTGAAGATAGGCCCTTTAATCCCTAACCCCCTGGTTCTTTCTAGTCTTACTTCTTAGCAATAGACCACATAGATCCCACTGTGTGATCAGCACTGTTTGTCTGCTCACTCCTTCCCTGATAAATTCATTTGCCCCAGGATCATCCTCTCCAGTGCTCTCTCCCTCAAGAAGCCCTGCTCTGCTCTGGGCATCCTGGGATGATCATGTGCTTCTCTCTTTCATGGCACTGTGACGTTTGTCCTACTCTCTACCATCCCATCACGAAAAAGGCAGCTCTTTATGTGTCCTTTCCCCATGCCACTCAAGAGTAATTTGATCACATTCTAAGTGCATGGATCACGAAACAGATGGTTCAATGAACAAAGCAAGGAGCAGGAGTGAGGTCACCTGAGAACGTCATCCTGAAGATCACAGTTTTCCTGAGAGTCATTCCTGATGGTGGAGGTCAGAAAGCCTAACAGATACATGGGAATGAAATAGAAGTTATGATTCCAAATCACTCAGTCCCAAGACTTTCTCAACTTGGCAGGATTTGGTCCCAAAGTGTAGTTCCCCCAAAATTTTGCTAAACAGGCAAGCTGCTCCCAACCGCCTCATTACAGCAGCAGGGCAACCTTGGTGAGTTAACAGGAACCTTCTCAACCCAGCTGGAGGTTGAGGTGCCTGTCCTGCCAGCAGCCTCCTGGTGGATCCTCTGAAAGCTCCACTTCCTGCCAGAGGACTTGGAGATGTAAACTTAAGTCTTCTGTTGAGACTGGATGCCCCTGGAACTAATTCTCAGTTACCCACGGCAACAAGAGACAGCCTCGCTCACTCAGTTTGACCAAAGATCTACGCATATCATTTTAACCATTGTGTCCATCTTCTCTACCAGCACCATCAGCACAATCGCCAGCACGATTTTTTTATAGTCCAGCACAATCTAGGTGAAATCTTGGAAAGGCATATAAATTAATGCAAACAGAAAAATACACTCTCTGTAATTCTGACAATCAAGAAGCGCATCTTCTTAATAGTGGCTTGTAAAAAAAAAAAATAGAGAAAACTGTAAGGACTTACTAATAAAGATACTGTCACTTCTGAAAATACTGGATAGAAGTACTTTTCTCTGCTTCTACCACTGAATACAACTGAAAAAACCCCAGTCGTTGTATAGATAATAAATATGCAGACTCTGAAAGGTGGAGAGGAGAAGGCAGAAAAGCCCAGGACCTGGGGACCACAAGCATGAGAGGTCGCTCAATCACCTGGATTTTCTTTACACTTCAGTTATCCTAGAATTGAAGCTGAAGACATTGACAACTTAGAAATATCACTGAGGGCAGACCAAAAACCAAAAGCTACTCTGTCCTCAAGAAGAAGATTAAAAAAAAGCAAAAGACAGACAGCCTAGCAAGACAGGTAACTTTCAGACAATTGCTCAACAGCAGGCAAAAATGTTCCCCCAGCCCCACGCAGTCACAGCAGCAAAGGCCTGGCAGGTAGGATTGACCCTGTAGACACCACCGAAGGTGCCCTGAGCTCTCGCACTGGGATGGTGTCAGAGAAGGCAGTGGAGACACTTTTCACGTTTCCCCAGTACCCACTGAGGCCCATAGGTGGCGCCTGAGTTCCTGCAGTGGCAAGTCCTCTGTCCAGCAAGGAAACCCGGCCCTCGGTGCTGGGAGAGAGCCAAAGCAATCACAGGAACCAAGGAAGAGTTAGCCAAAGAGAATATCCCTAGTCCCATGCATGACATCAGCGGATGCCACTAGAGAGCTGTAAAAAGGAATCTCTACCCTCCCAGGCCAAGAGAAGAACCAGAACACTCACCCCCAGCAGCAACAAGGAGACCCAATGATTTCAGGCATCAACAGAAAATGAAAAAGAACCTGGAAGTAAGAAGTTGGCATCAGCCTTCCCCTTGCCCTAATGGGATTTAATTATTGAAAAAAAAAAAAAGCTAAAATTAAGGTCTACAAGATTCTGAGTCTCATAGCACAATAGCAAGTACTCCCAGAATTCAACAAGATATCATCATCATTATCCAAGTAGTATAGCGCAGGCATCCAGTGAAGGCGCACCAAATGGCTGCTCTGCTTACAGTCTAGCTTCCTGATAATACACCTGGGTAAACATTGGATAAAAACGCAAGTGTTTGGGCCCGTGTCACCCAAGTGGGAGACACAGATGACATTCCTAGCTCCTGGCTTTGGCCCAACTCAGCCCCAGCCACTGTGGCCATTTCAGGAATGAACCAGCAAAGCAAAGAGATAAGTCTTACTCTCCTCCTTTTTCTCCATCAGTCTGGTTTTCAAATAAACAAATAAATCTTCTTTAAAAGCCATCATTCAATGACCGATGTTATGGTATAGCCAGGAAACGTGCCACTTGCTATACCAGCATCTCATATCAGTACCAGTTTGTGTCCTGGCTGCTCCACTTCTAATCTAGCTCCCTTCTTACAGTTTGGGGAAAGCAGTAGAGGATTTGGACCTCTGACACCAATGTGGGAGACAATAAAAAGGAGGATCTTGGCTCCTGGCTTTGTCTTGGCGCAGTCTGGACCATTGCAGCCATCTGGGGAATGAACCCTCTACCTTTCAGAATAAATAAATAAATATTTTTTTAAAATCATTTAAAGCATCATACAAAGAAAAGCACACAATTGTCTCAAAATAGAAAGTTAATTAAAAAGAAGAAGAAGGGGCCAGCACTGTGGTGTATCACACTAAGCTCCCATCTACATCCCTTATGGGTGTCAGTTTGTGTCCCAGCTGTTCTCCTTCTGATCCAGCTTCCTGCTTCTGGCCTGAGAAAGCAGTGGAAGAAACTCCTGGCTCCTGACTTTACACTGACCTGACGCTGGTGGTCGTGGTCATCTGGGAAGGGAACAAAGGGGGTGGAAGATCTCTCTGTCTCTTCTTTCTGCAGCACTGGCTTTCAAATTGAAATAAAAAATAAATCTCAGGGGGGAAAATGAAAAAGGGAGAGATCTCGAGACATAACGCATTGAAGAACAAATAAACACAGCAACTAAACTGGGGGAGAGGCGAGTTTAATCATGTAAATCAATGAAGTCAAGACAAAATTCTTGGTTTTTTTTTTTTTTCAAAAAATGAGTTTTGAGCCATTTCTCCACATCATAGAACAAATCTTCCATCATGGTGTAG